GGCCTTCCCTCCTGGGCGCCCACCAACGGCGGGTAGCCGAGCCTCCGATTGGAGGTAAGTTCACCGGAAGCTTTTAGGATGTGACGGTCCGTGCGAACCAAGGGTTTCTCACGACACCACTCTGCTTGTATTATACGATGTCTCCCGGAGACCTGTTCCGCGCTGGTGTATGTTCCCTCCCGAGGTCGTGTTGCGTCAGGTTGCTGGGGGCATGGGGCAGGCATCCCACATGGCCACTCCAGTCTCGACCTCAAACTACCTTCGAAAGTGCAACCGGCCCCGCAGCCATTATTAATTGATTTTTTGTTTTCTTTGTTTTCGACCCCTGGCTGACTTCAGCAATTTGTTTCTTTTCTGTTTCCTTTTCTTTTTCTTTACTTTCTCGTTTTTTCCTTTTTTGGTAAGCGTTTTCTTTTGTAAGTGTTTTTGCGCCTTGGCCGCATTCAGAAATCTCCGTGTTTTTGCCTATGGTTTGTTAAGTGTTTTCGCATCTTGGCTGCATTCAGCAATCTTTTTCCGTCGGTTAGCCCCTTCGGGGGCTGTGTGTGTGGAAACAGTTTCTTTGTGCAGGGGACCGGGAGGGTGGGGAGGGGGTCCCGGTCAACGAAGACCCCCCTCCCCAACCCGTGTAAACGTACCTGCCATGGCAGTGCCTGGACATCTGAGGATGTAGCTGGCATGCTATAACAACAACAGTCGGGCCCTTTTCGTTTTTGACTAAACCATGTTTTCGATTTTCAGACCGGTTGCACCATTTGTCGGCGTGTTCCATGAGGGTTAAAAAATCAGGTTTTAGATGGCTTTAGGCAGTGAAGAGCGTGAGGGCATGCGCGTCGGCTTTGCATCGTGTGCATCTGTCATGAGTGAGTACATGTGCACCCGTCATGAGTGCATGTGCATCCGACCTGAGTGCATTTGCAACTTTCGAATGCATTCTTGCATCAGTGTGTGTGTGTGTGTGTATGTGTCTGTCTGTGTGTGTCTGTGTGTCTCTGTGTGTCTGTGGGTGTGTTGAGTGTGTGCAACTGTGTGCAGGCCGCGTCACTGTCTGCGGACAGTAGTTATGGCCAGATGGAAAGGGCTCCCCCATGAAGTTGTTCTCCAACTTAGCCAGCACGGGTTGTGAGAGAAGGAGTACAGTCCTGGGCGGATCCTGTTTGCAAATGCAGCGGTTTGCGAAACTTGGTGGTCCGGGCAGTGAAGGTCTTGTTGTAAGCCCACAGCTGCCGAAAGCCTGCAGCTTGCCCCGGCCCCCAACCCTGAGTTCCAATGCATAGGTGCGCTCTCTCTGTTGCCCAGGCCTCCACTATAGTAGTTGTGTAAGCCCAGCACTCCGGCGAACAGAAAGCCTCCGAACAGACGTGACTCATGGCCAAGTCTGTTTCTGACATACCTAGGAAGAATGGAAAGTGCAGAGGACAAGCCAAGGGTGCACCTAACAAGCCAGAGACGGAGCCGGCCAACAGCAAGGAGACGGCCCTCTTCTGGTTCAGCTCCTCTCCAAGAGCTCCAAATTCTAGAGTGAAAACAAACAAGTCACCCAGGCAGAGAGAGCAAACTGCGGAGTACAACTTGCGGTGCAGCTACGTTGCAGCTACGGCTACGGTGCAGCGATATCGCGCAACTACGGTTACGGTGCAAGCAACTACGGTGCAACTACGGTGCAATTCACGGCGCGGGGCGCGCACCCAGCTGTACGTGGCAGCTTGCGCCTCGGGGCCTCGGAGCAAACTGGGCACAAGGAAGACGGAAGGAAGACAAGGGTCTCTGATGGCTTCTGGCCTCTTGACATGGTTGGGATCAGGGATGAGGACTTTGCGAGGACTTTGTCGCTTCGAAACATGCCTCCATCAAACCTTTTTGGAATCCTGCCTTCAACCGCCTGAGCTAGGGCCTGCAGCTGATCAAGCGCATCACTCGGAGGCACCACTTGATGTACAGAAATATGCAGAAGGGCTGCAAAGGGATGTGCCACTGCATTGCCCTGCTCGTATCAACACAAAGTTGGGTGCTGCCGCGGAACCATCTCGAAGGAGGCATTGCTGAAAATCGTCTGCACGGACCTGCTCGACCTTCGGTCCAACTGAGCTCTGACCGAAAACCAAACAAACACGCGCGCACACACACACACATACCTACACACCTACACTGTAGGACCTACACACACCTACACACACCTACACACACCTACACACACCTACACACACACACACACACACACACACACACACACCTACACACACACACACACACACACACACACACACACACACACCCACACACACACACACACCTACACACACACACACACACCTACACACACACCTACACACACTCACACACAAACCTACACACACCTACACACACCTACACACACCTACACACACCTACACACACCGACACACACCGACACACACCTACACACACCTACACACACCTACACACACCTACACACACACCTGCACACACCTACACACACACACACACCCACACCTACACACACCTACACACACACACACACACACACCTCCTACCTACACACACTCACCCACCTACACCTACACACCCACCTACACCTACACCTACACCCACGCCTACGCGTTCGCCTACGCCGACGCCGACGCCGACGCCGACCCCGACGCCGACGCCGACGGCGGCGGCGACTGCGACACCGACGTCGAGGCCGACGCCGACGCCGACGGCGACGGCGACGCCGACGCCGAGGCCGACGCCTGCGCCTGCGCCTGCGCCCCTACACCTACACCTACACCTACACCTCCACCTCCACCTCCACCTCCACCTCCACCTCCACCTCCACCTCCACCTCCACCTCCACCTCCACCTCCACACCGACCTACACACACATCTGCTTAAACCAACTGTCCACCAGCCTCCAGGTCCCTTCTTCGCATAGCAGTCGTCATTCCTACACTCGGGCCAGGAAGACCAAACATGCCAAGGTTTATAATGGCAACACTGGCAGTTGGACCGTCCAATTGCCTCCTGGAAGAATGTCTTCTGCAGCTGCTGGCCTCGTGTCTTGCAAAGAAAAGCTGAGTACATCATTTTGCAACACCCCTAGTTCCCTTCAGCCCGCTGCACATTCAGCCAGCAGACTCGCTAAGACACAATCACGGCAATTACAGAGCTTGAGTCTCTCAACTTTTGCAGCGCAGCCAACTCGTGCTAAAGGTCCCGCTTGACTCAGGCGATCTGGAGGCCCAGCTTCTTGGCCTTCTCGGCCTGGATGGCCCTCTCCTTTCGGGCTGTGATGTGTTGGGACTTAATTCCCATGATGCCTCCGCCCCATCGTCGCTTCACCTCAGCGTTGTCATTGAATTGCGCCTTGAAGTTGTTGACCAAGGTATTCAACTCCTTCTCATCCTCCGGCTTGACTGAGGTGATAGCCACGCAGGCACACGCCTTTTGGTGAATCAGCTGACCCAGGCGTGACTTGCCCTTGATGATGCAGTACGGCACATCCTTCTTGCGGCACAGCGCCGGCAGCCAGCACACGAGCTCAATGGGGTCGACATCGTGCGCAATTACCACCAGCTTGGCCATCTTCTCCTCAACCAGTGTCGTCACGTGATTGAGGCCGTACTTCAGCACTTGGGGCTTCTTCGTCTTCACCTCCTGGCCATCTTTCTTTGCCTGTGCCATCTCCATTAGCCTGGCTTTCTTCGCCTCCTTGGTTTCGGGCGAGTACTTCTTGCAAAGCTTCAGAAGAGAAGCCGCCTGGTTCTTGTCGATGGCCATGCTGAACTGATTGATGGCTGGGGGCACCTTGAGGCGCATCAGCATGATGCGCTTCTGGCGCTGCAGAAGGATGTACTTTGGCCACTTGACGAAGCGCGTCAGGTCACGCTTGGGCTGGATGTCACCACCCAGCCGGTAGTTTCGAGGAGTCTTCTCGAACAGGGGGTTCTTCTTGGCCTTCTTCTTCTTGTCGGCCAGCGGCGCCGCTGGGAGCTTCTTGCCACCCTTCGCTGCCTTACCCATGGCAGGCCGTGCTGTAAGTCCCTACTCTGACGTTGGACTGCGATCTACACGGTGACCGCTTTCAAGCCAACATCGCGCAAGCTGATTGATGTCAGAAGCCTCGCACAAGCAGCTGGAGTTTCAAATTGCCCAAAGCAGCTCCCTTACAAACTTAGGTCGTGACCATGCAAACGGCAGCTGGCACAGCCATTGGGCACGTTATGGCACGTATATTCTAGATGGATTGTTTCCCTCTTTTTCTCCCTCCCTCTCTGTGTCTCTGTCTCTTGGTCTTCAAATTGCCAGAAAGGATAACAAGCATGGACAACGAGACAAAGCCCTTGCTGGATAGAAGAATGTCATGTGGCAGCACATAGATGTCACAGCTTCGATGCATCGCCATGCATCACCATCTACATCTGTGTACATCATGCATACATGCATATTATCTATAGATATATATATATATATATATGTATATATACTTGTATATGTATATATATATACATATACATATGCATGTATGTATGAACATCATTTTTCATGCGCATGGAGACATTTCGACAGGCCAATTGTCCGGCATGGGACTGAGTCATGAATGGCATGCACTAAGAACTTCTGTAGTCTTAAACGGCCTTGGGATGTCAATGGGTTAAAGCTTTTGTTCTCGGGGAAGTGAAAGTTCGGAAAGGCCAGGGGAAACAAAATGCCCCGGAAATGGGCTTCACAACTACAGTGGCATTTGAGATATCTAATGCCGGTGAATTAAGTCTTGAAGACTTAGAATTTTGAATTGCTCGGAAATACAACATAGTTAAACGCTGTAAAGACCCCATGGTGCGTGGGGGAACCGTGCCAGCGAGAATGTCCTACCAGCTTACATAGTAAACGAGGCGTTAACCATTAAGAGAAGCAAGTCAGGGTTTGCAAACTAGGAGAAATTCGTGCAAGTTTTTACTCGGATCTGACCAAGCATTCGTTCAATACGAAGCGTTCCAGGATCCCTGCAGCTGCGTGCTCAACTAAGCTAAGAAACATGCAATCAAGGTTGCCTCTCATGAAAATGTATCTCGATAGCAAGTCTTCAGCGTTTCTGACCGTTAAACTCTTAAATTCTTGGGTTCCCTGCTTTACACATTTGTGCCTAGCAAAGCATATTTTGCCTGCCCAGCTAGACAAGCTTAGCAAAGCACTATGGACGGATTTCCCTTACAAACAGCGTGCACCTTGTATTTGGTCAATCGGGCCATTTGCCCGAGTCTTCCGTTTGTCAGAAGTGGAAAAGCATGGCATTTATCATACGAAGTTCTGTTTGGCAACATGAGAATCACATTAAAGAGGGAGGCAGGGGCACTGGGGCACCGGTCTCAAGGTCCCCTGAGAGGCCCTTTTGGGCCCCACTCCAATGACTCCAATGGACCCACCTCGAATATGCAAAATCTCGACACTACGTGTTCTGATTCTAACAACATCAGGCTGACCTTTCAACTTGTGCCAGGCCTAGCCAAACAAAGGCACAAAATGATACTCCGGAAAGGTTTAGAGTTTCGTTTTTTCCACATTGGAGGTGCGTCCTCACGCATTCACTGGTTTGTCAAGCAACATATGAGGGCGATCCTTCAAATTCACACGTATCAGAACTCCATTGACGGCCTAACTATTCACTGCATTTCTAGGATACTACAACAGAGCAGACTCTAAACGACTTTGGTATAAGCTGTCTATGAAAACACTATAAGAGTCGTGGTATGTTCATGTGTTATGGGGCAGGCCTTTGACTATGTTCACCGAACAAGAAGATCTGAAGAAGCCTTTTTCAGAATCTTCTAGCATCGGAGTAAATACGTTTACAAAAGAAAAATCGACATCTCATGAACATCCTTAACCCGATAGCAAGTGCTTCGGCTCTTCCGATCGTTAAAAAATTTTCTTTGCAACAGTGTGCTACCCACCTGTGAGACTATAGAAGGCCCGAGTAAAATCTCGGTAATGGCTTAATTGGTCAAAGGAAATTGTATTCTTAAGGTCCGAAATGGCCTAGCAGAAAGTTAATAAGGTTTGAATAGAAGCGTGCATACAAATTACCGGGACTCAGCTAATAAGTTGGGAGGAATTTTCGGCTAGTGAGTTGTTCACTTGAGGGGCAGGGGCTTTCCCTAGCGAAGTGTCCAGACTTGTCTTTTTCAAAGCTTCAACCCAGCACGCTACATGGACGTTTGGAGGCCTGGAGGCTTCCCCTAGTGAGGTGTCCAGTCATTTCTAGGATGTTCAATTCATGTTATACGATTCGATTGATCTTGTACTGTATTCTTGCGTATGGAGCCCTTGCAAGTTGCTGCTGTGCATCCTAGAAGCGCCCATGTCTGCAGGGCCGGCAGAGATCTGGTGCAATGCATGCCTTGTTGGAAGCATACAGGCTTGCCTGTGAGGGGACTCCGCCTCCTCTCGTCCCCTCTTAAGAAGCCCAAGTTCCAAAACTCACAAGCTCCAGAAATCCAAGAAAGGACCCAAAGAAAAACAAAGAACGCTTGGATCTTTGGGCTTCTGAGGGGCGGAGGGAGGCCGCTCTCTTGTGTGCAGGGACTGCAGGAGGCAGTCTTTTCGATTGTTTGGCTCTGAAAGGCCAGCCATCCTCTTCTCCAATCACAGCAACCCCAAAATCTCAGTATCACAAAATCCGGAGAGCCTCCAGCGAGGTTTGGACTTTCGGATTCTTGGATGCTGGATTTGTGCACGATAATTTGCCTAGAAAAGAACGTGAGAAAGCTAAATACCTGGAGATCAGCGCAATGCATGTAAAAAAACACGCAAGCCCTCGAACCCAAGTCCAAAAATTTAATGTTTTCCGGGATCGTCTTTTTGGAGTTTTGGAGTTTTGCTATTTTCATTTGCTGCTTCAGCAATGCAAAGGAAAGTGCACATCTTAGCTCAACAAACTCAAACTTCGAAAAAGAAACCTGAATTTGTGCTGTGTCTCGTCTAACTTTGTTCTTTTCTAGCATTCTTAGGCAAAGTAAATAGCACAAGCAAGGTCCAAAAATCTAAACTTTCCTGGGAGAAGGTTGGGGAAAGTTTGGACGTTTGGATTTTGGGAGGTTCGATGTTGTTTTCAAAATTCCAGGTTGGTCCATTGGGGGAGTTTGGGACGAGCACGCATGACGCATAAAAGGCATGTATGCATATATATATATATACATATATGCAGGACCCATTATATATGTACGGCATGTATATAATATCTCAGTTTCAAATGAATATGTATACCACATGAATGGGCATTCTACTCTCGGCTGCATGTCAGTATTGACAATGCTTGTAGTGAGCAGCTTGCGAAGGATTTGCAATCAGATGCATTCCAATACACAAGCTGCCGAACCACGTTGCGTTGCTGCCTGTTGCTGCTAAAGTCTCCGGTCCGAAGCTGTTTTCGCGGGCAACTTGGCTTACAAGACACTCAGTCAGTTCAACTTCTGAAAAAGCTCATCCAGTCGGGTGAAGAGGCGCTCCAGTCCTTCGGGCAACAATCCAGGCTGAAACAGACTGCAGTCACTTCGGCTGATGGGACTCCGACTTTGGAGCAGCTCTTTCTTCAGCTCCTCGACAGCACAAAACGTCAGTTGAGCCTCTTTCAGTACCTGCACTTCAAGCTTCTAAAGGAGTCTGGCTAAGCACAGTCCTTTGCTGCCAGACGACCCGACTGCAAGTTCGAAGTGCCCACGTCATCGACTCTGCTGGCCTCCCAAAGTTCTCTCAAGTCCCCGTCAAAAATGCTCTCATCTTTGAAGCCCTAGCGGCTAGATGCCCTAGCGGCGAGCCTCGAGCTCTTTCGCTTGGCTCTCGATCTGTGCCAGCTGTGATTTGGCAGTGCTCCTGCGAACATGCGAACTTTCGGCTACACTGTGGACCTGCACTGCACGGCTCTCTGCCAGAATCACAACACGTCCCAAAAGCGATCCAGACATACTCAGCACGTCGCCTTGACACATGCGCCGCAGACATGGCTAGATGCACCGACGCCACCTCGTGCAGCGGTTCAGAGCTTCGATGCTTTGGAGCCTATTGCGCCTTTCTGCACGCATCAAGAGCCCACCTTCTGTTCCAGCTCACAAAGGGCCGATTCTGCAGCCAATAACTGCTGCATTGACTTGACCTTATGCGCACAAGTGTGCATCTGCTGTATGGCACTCGCTGCAAGTGTTGTTATGCAAAAAATGACAGACACAAGTCGCACCCTTCTTGTTTCGTCGCAGCCAACTCGTGCTAAAGGTCCCGCTTGACTCAGGCGATCTGGAGGCCCAGCTTCTTGGCCTTCTCGGCCTGGATGGCCCTCTCCTTTCGGGCTGTGATGTGTTGGGACTTAATTCCCATGATGCCTCCGCCCCATCGTCGCTTCACCTCAGCGTTGTCATTGAATTGCGCCTTGAAGTTGTTGACCAAGGTATTCAACTCCTTCTCATCCTCCGGCTTGACTGAGGTGATAGCCACGCAGGCACACGCCTTTTGGTGAATCAGCTGACCCAGGCGTGACTTGCCCTTGATGATGCAGTACGGCACATCCTTCTTGCGGCACAGCGCCGGCAGCCAGCACACGAGCTCAATGGGGTCGACATCGTGCGCAATTACCACCAGCTTGGCCATCTTCTCCTCAACCAGTGTCGTCACGTGATTGAGGCCGTACTTCAGCACTTGGGGCTTCTTCGTCTTCACCTCCTGGCCATCTTTCTTTGCCTGTGCCATCTCCATTAGCCTGGCTTTCTTCGCCTCCTTGGTTTCGGGCGAGTACTTCTTGCAAAGCTTCAGAAGAGAAGCCGCCTGGTTTTTGTCGATGGCCATGCTGAACTGATTGATGGCTGGGGGCACCTTGAGGCGCATCAGCATGATGCGCTTCTGGCGCTGCAGAAGGATGTACTTTGGCCACTTGACGAAGCGCGTCAGGTCACGCTTGGGCTGGATGTCGCCACCCAGCCGGTAGTTTCGAGGAGTCTTCTCGAACAGGGGGTTCTTCTTGGCCTTCTTCTTCTTGTCGGCCAGCGGCGCCGCTGGGAGCTTCTTGCCACCCTTCGCTGCCTTACCCATGGCAGGCCGTGCTGTGAGTCCCCGGGGCTGCGTAGCTAAGACCGCTGAGAGAAGCAAATGACCGAGATTGCGGGGTGCAGCTGTCTTGCAATATCGCGTCACTGCCACACAAACCTTGTCATTATTGTCGACCTTCCACTGTCATGGATGCGCTCGAGTGCGAACGAGGGCGGACGAGGCCTCGACTGAGGTTTGTGACATCCGCTGTGTCACTCGCGTCATCTCGAGGGCCTGAAGTGCACAAGTGGCTGGTACCTTTGGATGATGGCGAACAGCATGGCACACACTATGGAACACAGCTAGTAGAACGTCATTGCGCACAGCGGGCCTGGCTTCTGGGATGGTGAGCCTGCGGGGCCTGCGGAGCCTGCGGATGTAAGCCGCTTCCGATCCAGCTCGGCCTGCAAGGACACCAAAGCGAGTGCGCTGGCCTTGCCTGTATGAGACTGTGTTGCATTGTACGGCCTCTTGAACGTCTGTGCCTGCGTTGGAAAGCTGCCACAAGCCTTCGACGTGATGAAAGACGAAACCTACTGTCTTCTGATTCAACTGCACCACTGCATATCACTGCCGCCTGCTAGTCAACGCATTCCCTACTGTTCTCAGATCCGATTCAGGGACGTGCTTCTCGAGATTGGGCTTGCTGCATGTTCCAATGTTTCTGCCGCTCAATGTCTTCCTTGATGGTTCAGGGGTCGTTCTGTGAGCCTTGTCATGTTTTTTTTTTCGTTTGTGTTGCTGATATCACATTTCCGGCTTGCCGCTGAACTGACAGGAATCGACTCAAGGTCGCTGTTGTTGCTCAAATTGCGACCTTCTGGTTACTCGGAATGAAGAAACGTCTCCTGAAGTCCTGAAGATCCTCAGCACAAGTCTGCGCATGAGCCATGAGTCAACGGTCAACGTGTACATGTGATTTATTACACTGTGGCATTGTCACACCATGCCCAGAGTCCCAACTATGCCCAGAGCCTGTCTTTGGGAGGCAAACACCTCCAACAACGGCCAATCGTTTGCAGTCTTGTGGGCTTGAGACGATGGAGTGGGTCAAGTGCTAAAATCCGCCGAACAGTCTAAGATCTTCGAGCTTCGCATAGCTTCTTTCTCAGCTCTCGGCCACTTTTTGTTTCAGCGAAGAAAGGCGTGCTTCTGCCTCCCAAGCCTCTCAGCTCATCAAGCGTCTGTCGGCCTGTCGGCTTTGGAAGCCCGGACCATCCTGGGCGGCTGGAACGTCATGAACTTCATTGCTCTCGGTCAGGACCACCCTTGCACCAGCAGGATACATGTAAGTTCATGTGATATGCGAGAGATGGAATAGAGATTGTAAAGAAAATTCAGAAACCAAAGAAGGAGATGCAGAAACGGACCGAAGGACCTCAGCCCAAGAAGCGGCACACGCTAGCGTAGGTGGCTGTCTTCGGCGCAGGTTCGCAACGGGCCTGCAGATGCACCTCCAACGCGGTCATCTGGGAAAGGTTCCATTCAACACCCGGCGCCCATCCACGCCAGCGCTGCTTGAGGATGTCCCGGTACCGCTCCAGGAAGGCCTCGACGAGTTTCTCGGGCGGCTCCACGGGGTCGGGGTTTGGCAGGGTGGCCATCCAGCTTTTCCAGCCTTCTGCCGCCTCGTAGAGAGTGCGATTTGCACGCGCCCGGGCTTTCTTGTGAGCTCCGCTTCCTGAGGCCATTGCTGCCAACACCACGCCGGCCTGCTCAGCGACAGCTCGCCGGGGTGCTATTGAGCAGGCAGGGCTTACGCCGTTACCGCAGACAAGGCTCGATTTTTTGGGGCATTGCATGCTGTAAGCTCAGATAACCTGGCAGAACTTGTCGGCGCGCGGAGCTTACACTTCTTGCAGACATTCGGGCACAGTATGCCGATATAAGCAGCAGGTCCTTTTTGGGTGGCAGAGGGGCTCGAGGTCACTCCCCTCACCCCCCATCTTATCCGATATTGCACACAGGGCGCCAAGGTAAGGGCTGGGCCCCCCTGCTTAAATGCCTGAGACATCCGGCCCGAAGTTCCCCCTAAATCCTACTTGACCCAAGACAAGAAAGCTGAAAACAAAAATTCCGCCGGACACTTCTTATCAAGGCATGTCAGCACATCCTGACAAAAACATGACAGAACGCAAGCCTTGTTTTTGAAGGCCTTGGTCATCTCTCTTTCCAGATGGTCGTGCAGCACACTGGTGCGCATGCGTGCATCGCGCACGCTTGGCGGCAAGCCATCTTCAAGCTCGTAGGACCACAGGTTCACAGAGGCTGTGTCCTGAAATGGCAAGCCAGTGACTACGCTAGGCGACGTGGCATTCAACTTCGAACATCCCTGCCCCGCCCCTAAAACCAACTGCAAAGATTTTACGTTTGCAGTGTTGGGAAAGGAGTTCTTTGCTGATGCTGGTTCAGAACTTCTGGTCCGACGGAGCCACGTGTGAACACAAGGTTTAAGTTTTCGGGCAGCAAGCCGAGTTGTCCATGTCAAACGCGGTGGAAGAAGATAAGCTGCAACATGGTGCAACGACTGCTTCCAAAGGAACAGGAAAGATTCGGGCTTTGGCACACTGTAAATCAACATTAAAACCCACATAAATTACCTTAAATTACGACTTAACGTTTTCGGAGTCCCCGAGCGGGGCCGCAGTCAAGCTTCGACCTGAAAGCTCTGAGAAACGCCGAGCCCGGTATGTAGACCAGTGAGACGCGGCTTGTGCAGCACCAATTCAAGCCTGCCAAACCCCTCCAACACCAAGCTTTTGTACCGGGGTAGCCCTTGTAAGCTTCGATCCTGCACACAGCGAGCTTTGACAGTGATTTGCAACCCGGCCCCGCCAGCGAAAGGCCAAGCGTGAAACCTTCGCCTTTGCGGCCCCGCCGGCGGCGTGACCTTTACCGGGAAGCCTTATACGCTTGGATCCTTTACATGAAGCAGATAAAACCTGGCAAGGCGCGCCAACCGCAAGACCTTATCTGAGAAGCTGTTGAGCTTGGAACCCTTTATATGGAACAGGCTTGACCAAAATGGCAAAAGCTTGTCGGCGCGCCCACCAAGCCCGCCGAAACTTTAACGAAACTCAAGCCTGGCGGCCACGAAAGGCGTAAACCTTTGAGTTTCTTTCTCTTTTTTCATCTTAATGATGAGAAGTAAAGAAGGTAGCAGGTGGGTGGCAGCATTGCGATGAGGGCAGCTATCGCGACATAGACATTACACTAAATGGAAAGCTAGCTGTCACTTGCGGCGAGGTGCAATGATACAGGAAGGTCGGTGCCCCACTCGTCATTACATAGCTCCATAACATTCCGTGCTCGGATATTCTTACTTACCAGTGTGGCCGCAAATGGCCTCGAGCTACATGAACCGATGAAACAGCACATGATGCTTATGTCGTTCAGGCTCCCCAAGTCGACATGTAAGTAGCTTCATTACTTTGACGCACAAACCTGGAGCTCAATCACCCTCGTAAAAACACTTCCCACATTCCATGGAAGAGAATGAACGACAGCTACTGGGACAACCGATGCACGAAACGAGCTTCGGAGCTGAAGACGAAAGCCCTCCAAACCTAGCGTCTAATTTTTCGATCTAACCGGTTAGGCTTTTAAACGAGCATTTAGTTGTTCGAACAATAACGCATACCACTTGTAGCCCCAAGCGTGGGCGTCAAATTGCAAAAGCCACACGAGGAGTATTATTAAATATCTTCGACGTGGTCAGTCTCTTGTTGGGGCCAGGCCGTGTGTACATCAGGTAATCGATCGGGTAAGCCACATAACATGCCATGAAGAGCTTGCCTGTTTGCTTGACTTAGGCGAATTAAAACTTGAACCCTTCATCATAAAATTCCTCCTTGGAGCCCTTCTTATGTATATTCTTCAACAACCTCAGAGGTGTAAACTATCGAACTGGAGGAGAATCGAACATCAGTGAAGGTCTGACTCAACGAACGCTACCATTACAATACATGTTTATATACTTTATGGCCATGTTGCTAATTTGCGAATCTAGTAAACAAAGCTGCAAACTCATGTTAACACTCGATATGGGGAGGTTGGCTATGACCCGAAGTTGTGGTTATAACTTTTGTGTATTTAAAATCAAAGACAAACCAAAATAGGCGGCTGCCCTAACACTTATAATCAGGAAGAATCAATAGGGACCGAGCCCGACTCCGAAAACTGATCCAAAGGTCTTTGGGCGAGTGTAGCCGTGTCTTTCTTCTCATGTTGCTTCCGATATGTGTGCATGCGTGTGTGTGTGTGTGTGTGACGTTTGTGCGAAGCACACGTGGTGTATACGCTGTGCCGCTGAAGATGTTGTTGTCGGCTCACGCCGACATTCGGAGAGAGAAATGAAATTTCACATACTTTGGTGTTGTACTTTGGTTATCTGGTGTCGGTGTCTGGGACATGTTTTTTCAAAACGGAGGACCCGCGGCCCTTGGCCAAAACTCGGGGGAGTTGCATAGCACGAGCTACCTGCAGCAAACACAAACGACACATTCAGCAAAGGCCAACATGTTTTGCTGAACATGGCCGTGCGGTGACCCGTTGGGGAGTTCTTGGCTGACTACTGTTCGCGGAATGTTGCCCTCGTTTGTTGACTGGGACTACTCACTGCTATACTATGCAGAATGGTGACCACGCACAAAGCTCTTCACAACTCGCTCTGCGATGCTCACGGTGGTCCTCGAAAGGCTGCTCAAATTGATGCCACCAGTACCCGGGCAAATACAAGACGTCCCCGGGCCCCACCACTGTCTCCCACAGGACGGCGTCTGCAAAACCAGGGTGTCGTGCAAGATCAGGGTCCTGCAAGTTCACTTGGGAGCTGCCGGCGAGTGGATGAGCATTTGGGTAAGGGTACAGAGCTCCGTACTGTCCTGGTTCTGCCAGGATCGCACGCTTTCTGCCCCAGGCCATAACGTACAAGTTGTCCGAGGAATCATAATGCAAAGGCATGGTCACCCCTTTCTGACCGACCCACAACTTTGCGTTGGCGATTCCCGCAAAGAAGGGCTGCATGCGTGAAAGGGGTCGCAAGGCTGTGACAGTAGCAGATAAATCTGCCGCGACCTGCGGTGTCGCTGCCTCGCCCGCCACCACAGGAGTGCCGTCCCGTTCCATGAGGACATCATGAAGGTAATGGTGCAAAAGACTGGACCTACTGGACTCCCCAGAGGGTTCACCAGAGGCTTGGGAGGCTTGGGAGGCTCGACTGGCTCGCAGAGTTTCCACAAAGCCCGCGAAATGATCTTTGTAGAGGTGCGTCCTCGGGCGGAAGGGATACGGATACCCTGCCTCGGCCGCAACTCGTCGAGGCTCATAGTACTGACAGCAAGCACTTCGATTGTCTGCAGCCACATTGTAAAAGCCTTTGTGCATGAACCGCTTGAGGTACTCCAGTGTCCATTTCTGTGGAACAGGGTGGCTGGAGTTCGTATCGAAAAGGTCTGTGATTACAACAGGTTCTGCTCGAGAGAGGAAATCCAAAGCATCGGCTGTCTTGCGACGTGATACCACCCGAGGTCTGACAGAAAGCGAAAGAAGCGAAGCATGCCGCGATGCTGCAATCAGCTCTTCAGCATCCATGTCGTCCAACACGCCTTCGAGTTTCGGTCTCACCTCTGCCTGCCAGCGCAAGATCGACGACAACGTCTCAGAAGTTGCCACCGCAGTTGCCGCAGCCACCGTTGCTGCCTGCTTGCCATGCTCAAGGGCTTCGTAAGCAGCCTGTAAGGATGCCAGGCCAAAAGATGCTGACTCGGGATCCATCAACGACTCGGCCAATTGCAACCACTGCTCCGCAGAACGGCCCTCTATGTCCTCTGCTTTTGATTCATCACAGGTCCTTCTTGCTGCGATCGGGTGGGCTGGAACGCACCTCAGCACACAAGATAAGGATATACCTTGACGACAGCACCATGCGCAAAGAAGAACGTGCTGAAAACGAGAAAGTTTAACAGAACATGATCTTGCGCTGTGGCGCTGACGGCGCACCATGCTCCACCCGCAGCTTGGCATGCGCACACAGCCAGCACATGAGTCAGCGGCATTGCGGCACTGCAGCAACGATGCAGCAGCGGCAGTAGCTGCACAGGAAGTCAACTCGGCCGCCGATGCATTAGACGCAGATGATGCACCGGTTTGCGTGTTCAGGACGTGACGGCGAGCTGTCGAGTCAATTTGGACTCGAAGCAAAGGTGTCAAAGTGCCCGCACGTGCGAGCGTGAAGATGTGTCCCTCATATGCCTCTAGCACTTTCTGCCCACCAGCAAGCAGCGGGCCAAAGTCCTTGCGAGGGCCGGAGTCGGCCCCATGCCAAAACAAGCTGCAGTCGAAGTCGAGCTCATTCACAAAAGTAGTATTGACCAGCGATGCACTCGCACATGCGTTCAAAAGCACATGCAGCAGCCGTGAAAGCCACACACGGGTCATGTGATTCTTCCGAGCAGCTGATTTGCAGCTGCGAACAAAGATGACAAAGATGCTTGTCGATCCACATGCAGGTGCCTACCGAGCAAGCATGCAAAAACACGGGCCTCGTTATATCTCCACTCTGTAGTGCGCTGGCAGAAGGGCTCCGCAACAAAAGTTGCCTGTGCATGGCCTGGACCAAAACTTCACAAGACGGAAGCATCGAAGAGACCTTGCTGACAGCCTCTGGGATCAGCGCTCCACACTCCTCCCAAGTCACTTTAAACAGATCCTGGAAAACTGGCACGACAAATGCACATCGCGTCCTGGTCTATGGCAACTTGGCCTATCGCAGATAGTTACAAGGGCACATGCAGGCAACATGCAGACAGCACATCCGCACATCCTCCCGAGTGCGAGGCTGAAAGTACCCTGGGGAAGGGCCCACCTCCAGCACAGGCCCTAAATCGCATCGGCGCGTGCCGGTGTTCATCTGCCGACATGACAAATAGAACTGGCTCGTGCTGGTGTCACGTCACAAGCTTGACGCTTCATAGTTCACAAGAGACTTAGCGAAATTCATAGGGCTGCAACGTGAAGAGTCCGTAGAAGTTTTGAGGGGCTGGCTCAGCTATGCTCAGCTGTCTTACACTCACATGGGGCCAGACAGTGCCTTGTAAACGCATACGACCACGCAGAATCACAACAGTGGAAGATCAGCAACAGAGTAGAATGGTGTCTCAGGTGTTCGAGCAGATTTGGCACCTGGGCATAGGGCCTTGGCTTCCGTTTCACAATTAATACTCCACATTGTGAAGCTCAGTAGCCTTATATAGGTGGGTGACATGGCCTGGGAAATCCTGGGAAACAAACCCACGCGGGTTTCGGAATACAGGCGCATAGGCAGCACACCTCACCTGCTTGACACCCCCACAACAACCGAAATGGCATCCCTACAGCAGCACAAGACTGAACAAAGAGAGCCTGTGTGTTCCAAGCAGACTGCTGCACAGAGCTTGGCAAAGCTTGCGGACACGGCGGCGGCCTTCATTCTCTCAAAATGTGCACGCTCAGTTGCTCTGTTCTGAGAAGAGGCAGGGGAAGAAGCAAAGCAAGCTTGTGACCACAGCATTCAAACCTCCTTCACTAAGTCGAGAACTGAAGCATGACAAACAACAATGCAGCAACAATATGGGGAAGCCTTGCAACTCCCGTCCGAATCTGCGATCTGTCATCACCAAAGAAATCACAAATGTCCTGCCGGGAAACAAACTTGATGAATTGATTGTGTGTCGAGTACAAGGACCCCAAATCCGCAGGGCCTTGCAACTCTTGGCACCCATGAATGGCTGGGAAGCGCTCACAATGCCATGTGCTGGGGCATGCGGTTGGAACAGAGTTCGCAGGCATAAAAAGTATATGAATAGCATAAAACACTCACAAGAGGAATGGAATCACGTCTGGACTTGCACAGCACTCCGGACAAAATGGAGCCACCAACAGGCAGCATGCAGTGTCCAGCACTAAGTGGCAGTCCATTACGAACAGCGCAATCACAGTGAATGAAGCCAATGTTGTACCATATGCGTCTTCATGATCCGCTTCTGGTCCAGGCGTGCCAACGCGCAAGCTTATTGAAAGGCTGAAGAGCACTTAAGCCGGCTTGGTAGCGTCTGGCTCGCATGCACGTGAAACGGGACAGGACTCCAGCATCCCTTATGCCGTCAGTGTTTCAGCAGATGCTGCGTAAACGTACGGTATGCATTCGGGGGAGATGCGGATGCCGTGCACTGTAAATCACCAGGGCTCCGCGCAGGTACAACACTCGGCCCTTGTTGAACCGCTTGATTGGCCAGGCCTGGTTATTTCTCCATAGGCCTCCGAATCAGTGACAGCAGCTATCACGCCGTGAAACGCGTCAAAGGAAATCATCATACGTAAACAATCAACAAAACACTGATCAAGAAGATTGACCAACAAAAAAGATTAACAACATCCGAAGTCCCTACGAAGGCCCTACTGGCCCTCCTCCCAAGCTCCTCCATGGCTGGCAAGGCGGGCTCCCTTAAACCGAGCTTGATAATCAAACGCCGTAAAACTGCGCTACTGAGATGTTTGAGAAGCAAGGCGACGCATTGCAAATTAGAAGACAGGAAATCAGGAAGAGCAACACATTTAGAAACAGTGTGGGACATTAAAAACCCCATGCTCAAAGGCTGTGTACGGACTATGCCCACCAAGTGGGCAGCTGTGATATTGTTTCTAATGTCATGTGTGCGTGCTGGAAAACAGGTGCCTTTTTTTCCGGCTGCATATCCACCTCAGATACCCCTCGAAGAGGAGGATGATGCCCGCCACGCGGACATGGCTCCACACTCGACTTGAATCGAATATTTATTATGGATATCAAGAAGACACCTTGGAATAAAGGAAGTAATGCAGACAAGACAACCTGGACAAGTGGAAGGAGCAGGATAGAAAACATGGCGAAAGTAAGGAGCAAATGAACGAGTACTCCAAGCACTCTTGGGAAGAAACACGAAAGCATACCAAGAGAACAACACAACCATGTGGAAGATGCATTACAAAATGCAAAGCATGACAAACACAAGCCAAAGAGAAGTGCGATTGCAGACAGCCATACACGCGGCACAAGCGACAATGAGTTTATTGTTGTTCCACTGCCATTCTGCTCTGTGCCGGCAACGTCCGCTCTGCTCCCCTGCCGGAAAGCATCCGGGCCCCTGTGGGAGCCAAGCTTGCAAATTTCCGCCCCTTAGTTCCCGGCTTTCTACATTTCCACCCTCCACCTTTTTTTTCTCCAGTTGGAAGCCTGGAATTCTCGAAACTTAATTTGGTAGAGATTTGCAAGTCTGAAGCTTACCGGGTGGAAGTCTGGAAGCCTGCAAGACTGGAAACTTAGACGGTGGAAATCCGAACCATCTGGAAAGTCAACGTGTGGAAACTAGAACTGTGGAAACGCAAATACCTTGGCAGGGGTCTGCGGGCGAAAGTGAAAAATCTATGTGACTTTATATGTGCAGCGAACCAGTCCTGATGAAAGAATGTAATTCAAATCCAACATCGTCAGGATCAAAATAGGTGTGTGAATTCATGATACCGTACAACGACCCACAAGGCATGCAGCCAGTTGCAGATATCGTTTATACCATAGGAGGAAAAGTACGTCAATCACATGAAGATGAAAGGAACACGTCAGGCACAGGAATTTTCTTTCAGACGAAATTGAAGCGGCTTGGTTGATCCTGGCTTGATCCTTCTTGATCCTTATCATAATTCTCAACAACAAGGGAAGAACGGCCAAACCTCTTAACTCCAACGTAACAAGGAACATAAAGTTCTCTTCTTGTTGACGGGCATCACACGCAACTACTTTAACCGTCCGCAACCAAACGTTGCCAGCCATCACTACCGACAATCTCTTCATGGCATGGCGTCACTCATCGAGGCTGGCTGGCCTGAGCAAACCAGAGAGGACTTCTCCAGAACTGACAGGCTTTTGTCTGGTTGCATCATGCTGCATATCGCTGCACGAATGTAAGCACATCTTGGGAACCTTTGAACAGCTTCAAGGTTCGAGGCTGACGAGAGGATCGACACGCGTGGACTAGGCGTGCAGGTCCTGGCATCGTCGAGGCGCTGAGAATTTCGCAATTCGTGCATCAAGTGGGACAAGGACAATCCCTCTTTCAGGCTTTCAGGTAAACCCATGCGGAGACTACCCGGTGCGCCGATTCAATAGGATCGATGACAGGAAGGCACACATGATGACAATGGCATCAACACCTGCATTCGCTGGGACAGGTATTGCCAGAACAGGCCAACAATGGTCACAGGAAGTCGGCTATTAGATGACCTGCCTGGCTTCACTTGAAGCTTCCAACCTTCACGCACGTCATCAACACGCCTTAGCAGATCAGCTCTTGCTGCGCCTGCGGATATCCACAGACTTTCCCGAGGCCCGGACAAGTTCTCGGACACGACGCTCGCAGATGCCAGCATGCTGCCATTAACTCTGCAAGCAGTGTAGGTCAGCCTGAGCATAAGAAGCCAAGACAGCTAAGACCGGTCTGCCTCGGCTTCATAATGCTAGGAGTTGCACGCGTCAGCATTCCCATCGACTGCCATGACCGGGAAGCCGTTGCACATCCTTCATACATCTTCAAAACTGGATTCGTCGAGAGAGTCGAGAGCATAGAATACTTGCACTGAGCACATTTGGCTGAGCATGTTACAGCATCACCCGGCCGCCAGCGTTCTCCAGGAACCCGTACAACCTCAAGGACATCTCAGACAGGAATCATTCGGGCATAGCAGTACACAGCAGTACTGTCCGCAGATCTGAGCAGCTCAAGCATTCACAGAAATCTTGATTCCAAAGCCCCACACTGGTTGTCTCGATTGTAGATCTCCAAGCCAGACTGCATGGAAGACCTGCGAGGGACATGAGGGAGCGGTGGAGAGCAGGAACGCAAAAATAATTGCCGCACGGCCTCCTCTGAAGAACGACTGCCGCTGGCGAGTCCAAGTTGACAGGCCAGATCCACAGCTGAATTCCCTCAGGCCCACGGTCCTCGCGCAAGCGACTCCCCGAAAAGACTGGACGTGTTTCAACAGATCTTGCCATGTGCTCCGCACCGAGTGCTGCAATTTTTTTTCGGAACAGGAACGTGCCTGCAAGTCGGCCTGAAGTAGCTGCTTGCCTGGAAGCAAGACATGTCGGAGCTCTTCCATCTCAAGCTCAATGTATCGGCCTGATCCGCCCCATATTGGAAACGGCCCAAAGGATGGATTTTTCAAACCTCAGCTCTGTGCTGATGCAGGATGTTTCAGTCACTCCACCGGACGCATCGGAAGCCGAACAGACTGGACGCGTTGCTTGATTCTGGCACCACTCAAACCGAAGGGACGCAAGAAAATTAGGAACAACTCTCTTCTTAAATGTTCCTGTGGGCAATGCATGACATGCAGGCCTACTGGCACAGGCTGCACAAATTGCAGCCATTCCATAGTAAAGCACATACACCTCCTCCAACTTTTATGCCGCCGTGTACTCCACTGCATCCATTCTGCGTTCGTGCTCATGCTGCAGGGGCAGCATACGGCAGGGTGCCAAAGTGCGCCAGGGCGTTTGTGGAAGCGAATATGGGAAGGATCGCGAAGGCATATGTTGGTCAGCACAATGCCATGGTGTGCTCAAACCACAATCACTTGTCGTTTCGGACTGGCAGGTTTGGGCTTATGGCTCCGGATTCCTGTCCTCGCACCCCCAAAAGATGTAGCAGGGCATTGTCGCTTACGAGCTGGTTCAGGGTGTTCAACAAACACTGCGGAACACTTGCGGAACACTGAGGCCAGAACGTTCTGCATCCACAAGGAAGATTGCCAAGTGCTTTGGCAAAATGAGATTTTCACCTCGGAATACTGGAGCTACAACTTGGCAGGGAAGGATTGTTTCACTGGATCCTCGTGTGGCCCAGCCCGAATCTAACCACTACTTTCATCTCATGTCCAAAAAGAATTTCGTGAACAGCAAAGCATAGCAACTGCCAAAACCGACTGGTTAGGCAGTGCTAATGGACGCAGCATGAGGGGTCGGTTTTCAAGTGTTCCCATCGCTTTACAGGGCTTGGCATCAGTTATCCACGCTTGATATTGGCAGGTGTCGCTTTAGGAAGAAGGTTATGGCCCGCAGGCTGGAGGAAGGACACCGTCTTCAAGAGAGCTACGCGTTCCCACTCTCACACCACCTTCGCTGTGTCTGACATGCGCGGTATGCGGTCTAATTTCAAGCTTGGTCATACCCACCCGATTGCCCCTTCCTGGTCTTCCCAAAGTCTTCGAGCTTTCGTTCGCTGTGTTACTACAGGAGCATCAACGGAGAAGAATGCACATTCAAATCAGTGTGAAATTCACAAGCTAAGGAATGTCTTGAGGAACTCGAGTCATTGGGAGCCCTGCACTCTCGGCAACTTGACGTTGACTACAGCAGTTTGTCACATTGTTTATCTGATGTAGTGCAAGCAGTGCAAACATGTTGTGGATTTTGTAAGAAGCTCTTAGCAAGCATCACTTGTTTACCCTGGGTGGATGTTGGAAGGACAAGTATCCACGCCTTCCCCACCGCTGTCTTCCCTTCCTCGTTCAGGACAAGGTTTCTTTTGTTTGGGATCTCAGCTTGCTTGTCTTTGGTACACGAACAATCATGAAAAGCTAGCAAGAGGTCGTGCCTCTCTTTGTCGCCGCATTTTTCCCCGAGAAAACACCCAACTCTAATTAATCCCCTCCCCTACACCCCCCTACCCATCCCGTGTAGTGTCAAAATTGTACTTTAGATATGAAGATAATCATGATCTGGTTCTTTCGTTCACCGCAGCACGTAATGTGCTGGGCTGACAAGGACATGCCCAAAGAATCTTTGTCCCGAGCAGAGCTTTGGCGGATCTTCGTCTGGACGAGGCCGTGCCAAAGCTGTTGGAGGCATCGCGTGTGCCTGCCACGAGAACTGATGGGGAGGTGGAGTCGAGGTTGATGCACCATGTTCTGGATTTGAGAAGGTGACATTTTTGGTATGTTATGCAGCTGAGAAGTATGGTGAGAAGTATGGTCTGGATATCGGACGTATAATCTGGAGTCCGGACCCTGCAAAATTAAATACAACTGGCCTGCGCCGCTTCCAGCGACATACGCTGTTCCGAGCCTGCCAGTCGAACATAGTCGAACCCTAAACTCACGCGTGTGATTGACACTGACACCACGCTCAGCGGGCGAACGACATGTCGTTTGCAGGGGAACCACGACTTTCCCTCCATTCTCTGCATGCTGCACAGCTTTGGTACTGCATTCCAGCCTCTTGGCCCTGTCAGAGAGACTTGAGCCTGCACCATCGTATTGGCTGAGACTACGAACAAGCCTCGCTGGGACGCGCTGAAACACGGCACATTTCCCGAAATGCCTCTCGTCTGGGCGGCGGTCGCAAGCTCCCGCGCTCAAGGAGTTTGCCTCCCGCTCCAGCCTCATACGAGCCTCAGCAAAAAGCCATGAGGAGCAGAGCCGCATAACATTTTCACAAGCGAGCATCAAATACAATAGGGGAACTCCTGATGAGAAGCGAGACTGTTGTGAAAGTCCGGGACCCTGGCTAGAGTCCTGAGTGGAAAGATAGACGTAATTGCGAGAGAAATGTGAGAAACTAAAAGCTTTTCTACGTCGACAGAATTTCTCTCTTGCAAAGCTCTCAATGATCTTTTTCCAAGGCTCAGAGAGCAGATACACGATCAATGGTATGATGAAGATCATTGCCAGCGCCACTAGCAGCATGACCTTAATCAGCAAACTGCTTTGTGTGTGGTGCAACTGGTACCCTTATTGGTATTTGGGGATATTTGGGGTCTATTGTAGGGGTCTCCTATTTTCGTAAGGCCCCAAATTGCATTGTGGCGAAAGCATGCTAGGATACTAATATTGATATATTCTGCTATTACCACTGGTTGGGCCACGAATGGCCCAACTTGAAAGCATGATTTCGCAATCGTGATTTCGCCGGCCTTCTTGGGCCTTGCTTGAAACCACGCCAGAGTGGTCTGAAAACATGATCTCTCCGGAGGGGCCTTCTTGGGCACAACTTGAAACCTGGGGCGTTTGCATGTATATCTTGACCCCCACAAGCCTTACCAATCTTTGTAGGATGTATCTATTCCGGACGCGCGCCTAAAAAAATCGATTTCTCGTGATAAGACCCAGTACTGACCCCGCCTTTTCTTTAGCCCACCCCTTCGCAGCCTCTGAGAGAACCAATCGCTCGTGAGCTTTCCACCCGTTGTCCTACTACTCTGCTAAAGCAGACACAACACCAGCCTGTGACTGGTAGCAAAATCCAAAGTTGAACCATTTTGTCCTTCTGCTCGCGCTAGTTGCGTGCGCTTATGGGCCTCTCCTGCTGGGGCATTCGTACCCGCCTTGCTGCTTAAATCTGAAACTAAAACTCAGGTTCTCCGGCGCACAACAGCTGGGCTTACGACGGTGAGGTTCGAAGATGATGTTGTGTTTCTCTGGACCTGCAGAAGTTAGATCAACACATATCGACATGGTGCATTATCAGCGCTTCACTGAAGCAGCGAGCTGTGACTGCACAGTCATCAAGATCCATTCCTTCGTGGCCTTTACGCCACCTTACACACCTTTGCAGACCTGGCCTCCAGTGACAGAACTGAAAGAAGACTCGGCATTCTAGAATCACGCTCCTCAAGCATGGCGGGAGCATGGCGGGTACAGTCCCAACATTGGCGACCAATTGCGCTGCTCCTTGAGCAAAGCGTCTGCTCCATCGGAGGACCTTGGCCCGCGTCAGAGTATATCCCTGTCAAATGGCATGGGAACATGATAGAACATGTGAAAACCAACTACTCAGTTTGGTGCGGCTTTGGCTTCGTAGCGTTTGACATCGTAAGGACAGTTTGCAAGAGGATGAGGTCACATTCCTCAAACAACACCACCAGGTCAATACAAGAACTACAGTACCTACGCGCAATGACAATGTCCTCGTCCAAGCAACTGCCACCTGCTACCTGCTCTAGCAATCCATGTGCTGCACATCGGCATGACTAAGCTATTTTTGAGCTGACGCCTTTGCCTGCGCATTGCTGATGAAGAAGACGAACACCTGAGAATACATCCTCTGCCGTGCAAGCCTCTACCAGACACATGTGGCACATGTGTGCAGATCGTACGTGGCGACACCAGCAGGACTTTGGCCAGCAGTGCACAAGGCTGCCGCCAAGAAGAAGCGGCGTTCCATCCGACCATCCGACCTTTGCAACTACTGACTTCCTAACTTCTGCCGTTTCGCACTCCAAAGCCACCACGTGCAATACAATTTCACTCGGGGCCAGGCTTTCTTGTTTTGAGCTCCCAACGGTACGGTAGTCAGGGAGAGACGGGGAAAAGAAACCCATCATCTTGCGGAGCAATCAAGTCAAGCAAACCGAGAACAGAAGTGTTCGAGACATGTTTCAAGGACATGTTTCTGACTGAGGAAAAACTGGAAGAACACCTGGTGAAGTACCCCGATTCTCCGTTTTCAAACCACGTGACCGACCATCCCTGCCTTCTCATGCGACCTAGGAAAAAGAAAGTGCCTCTGGCACAGCTCTTCCTGCTCGCCGCAACACCACAGACACCACAGACACCACAGATCTCGGATACACTCAAAAGGCCTATAAATAAACTTTGCTGAAGCAACAAGAGACTCTATGAGCGGGCTCAGGAAAACTCGCCAATCATTGGCCCAACAAGTAGCACTCATTGGGCAAATAGCGCTCAGTAAGGGTCGGCCCGTCGAGACTTTGCTCAATCAATCCCAGCACCTCCGAAGACAATCGAAGACACACCTTTGCGGAGTTCCTGTGGACCCGTACTCCAGCGATTTGCTGGTATTGGGGAAACATGACATCCAAGATGCCAGGCCACTACAAGATGGAGTCCGGAGGAAAACTGCTTCTACCACCCTTGCCTTTGAGCACGGATGTGACGTCTCTAATGTCTCTAGCTTGTTTGAGCACTTGAGATCTTACTTTGCAGACCACCTCCAGACGAAGCATGAGCATCTCTCGGTCGTCCGTCAAGTGTGACGCCTTAGGCGTCATCTACTCCGAGCTCCTCATTCAGCAACACGCCGGCTTTGGCTTCTTCAATCCTCAGAACGAGTTCAGAGGTCGACATAGCTGAGCGTCAAGAACTTCATAATACTTCATACTTCCTGCCTGGAGTGAATGATTCCTCCATCTGATCCTGAAGGTCGCGTACGGTTTCCTCGACAGCTCCAGGAATCCCTCCTGCAAAGCAAGTGCCCCCTTGTGAAAACCGCGCCCACGCTTGACAGAAACTTCAAGACCAAGTTGACCTCCCGTCTCTGGATCATGTTCTGTGCGTAGGGAGAGCTGCGGTTCTGTGGCTATCAAACTGAGTGAAAACCCTGTATCAAGAAGGCTGTTCTTGTTGTTGTGCACGGAGTAAGTTCATGTGTTCACAATAAGACCCCAGATTTCCTGTACAAAAGGCTGATTGTTACGGTCTTTTGGTACGTCAATCGGAAATATTTGGTCTCTCGGGCCTCAGGAAACCTTTTTGACATGTTTCACCGTTGCTGATATTAACATAATACTAACATTTGAATATAATTAATTCATGACTATACGCGTCAAGAAGAACACATGCACGAATAGATGAACTGCAGGAAACCATACGTCTGCATCAAAGTAGTGATTTGTTCATGTCGCTCGCTTCGTTCATTCATTCCGAGTACGCCTTCACTCACTTCGTACGCTTGTGCTACTACGAGTGTTCACACGCTCCCTGTTAGGCAAACCCCCCAGGTGGCTCGAATCACCTCCGGGCCCAGCATCTTTTGCAAAACTTCCGACAGAGCTGCTGGGATCGAAGAGCAGCTGCGGACACGATGACGCTCCAAGAAAGGGCATATTTCAGTCCGGTGTGCGGCCGGGCAGATTCCACGCGGTAGAAACTGGAGGAGTGGAAGCACTCACACGTCCGAGCAGTCCAATTCTCTGTGCCCAGACTTCGGACCTTGTCCTGTCATGCGCTTGCTAACAGCCCCAGGAAAACCATGAACAAGACTTACCGCTTGAACTGCCGAACAAGACGAACAGGATGAACACGACAGAAAAGCTATGCATTCATGCGGGTTTCTATAGGGAAGAGAGCGATTACTATCAAATTAGCAAGTGGACTGGTGAGGAAAGTGACGATCAGGAAGGGCCCTGTGAGCTACGTGAATCAGTCATAAACTGGGAGCGCCTAGAGCCCCTCTCAATCCCCCCATCACCTCTCATGCAAACAAACACCCGAACAATCTGGAAAACGACTTCCCCCAGGCTCCTAGAAATTTTCGTTTATTGTGGGTTTTGGGACATCGTGGGGTAGTGAGTGTGAGCGAGTGAGTGAGTGAGCGAGTGAGTGAGCGAGTTCGTGCTGGCACCATGTGAGACAAGACCCAGCTGAACCCGTTCGAGTCTCCACTTCCTGTGAACCTCAAGGCCTCCGCAGTAAGAACATAGCCGGCGTTAACACTGGCTTAATGGCTGGTCCCACAAACACCATGCAATGAAACGAACGCCATTGAAGTGGATGCGAGTAACAACTTCTGCAGGTCCTGCAGGAATCCGACTTCGTGTCTCCCTTGTAGAGCTCTGATGCAGCAGGGCAATGCAAACAGACAAAACCTTAGCTTGAGCGACTCGGACTTCATGGACGTCATGGCGCCAAGTCGCAAAGCAATGCGAGAATCTTGGCCCAAGACGATGATGGCAGCTATCCTGTAGAACTGTAGAATGACAAGCGCTGACAGGTCGAGAGTCGAGAGTCGAGAGTCAGACACGATGTCCAAGGCACGGGCATGCAAGCAGTAAACATCATGCCCTCCTTGGTGGGAACTTGATGACCTGCGCACAAAGATGGACTCTACTCTTGCAGTCCTCCACCTCAATACAATCCTCGTGCAACTCACTACGACTACAGGAGCTCAACAAAACTTAGGCTTTAGGCGCTTCGGCTAGCCATTTGAAAGCAATCCGGATCTCCACCGCCCGTTGCGCCTGTAACTTCTTCTACAACTCTGCACAATGAGATACCTCGCTGCAACGGAGAGCAACGCAGAGCAACGGCACGTGTTCGAGGAACCAGATTTCTCTCAGCCAACCCCCAAGGAACTCAGCAACGACAGCGGCCAAGGTTGTCCTTGAGATCCGACTTTTGAGATGAAGAAGGTGGCGAAAAAGCATGTCAATGATTGTGTATGTCACCTCTTCCATCCCTCCACTCAATCGGCTCCCCACCAGGCATCGCCACTGCTGTGTGGCTCGTCCCTGCCTCAATTAAGCAAGCTGGGAAAGGTACAATCATCTATACTAGACTAACGAGACCACTGTATTGTGTCACATCATGCAATCTCCCACAGCACCGTGTTGCTGGCCGGTACTTCTGGCACGGCAGAGCTGTTAACTGCGATATGCAGCAACGCAGCACAGTCTGTGTACCCCAGAGACAAACTGGCACAGATACAGAGAATGACGCGAGCCTGATTCAGTTTTTGAGCGTTTCCGTTCTCTCGAGGCCTCGCCTTGTCCGGCAACCTGAGAAAGACGAGCAGAGAAACAAAACGGTGGAAAAAAACACACACACACACACACACACACACACACACACACACACACACACACACACACACACACACACACACACACACACACACACACACACACACACACACACACACACACACACACACACACACACACACACACACACACACCCCCCCACACACACACACACACACACACACACACACACCCCCACCACACACACACCACACACACACACACACACCCCAACACACACACCCACAACACACAAACACACCCACACGAAACACCACACACACACACACACACACACACACACACACACCACACCCACACACACACACACACACACACACCACACACCCCACACACACACACACACACACACCCCCACACACCAACACCACACACACACACCCACACACACACACACACAACACACACAGGGGGGGGGGGGGGGGGACATCACACACACGCCTCACACACCCATAGCTGAAGCCTTAAGGCAACATTGTCGAGGTTGATAGGCATTGACCGATCTTGCACCGTGTCGTGGCACCGAGGCACCCTTTTGGTGCCACTCACCTGGATCAGTGCACTCACAGTGAGTCATCTGGCCAGAACAACAGTAATCTCTGAGCCATGCCACCTGTAAAAGGAAGAAGCTGTCATCAGCCGGCAAAGCTGAGAAAGGCGAAGATGCCTTTTGCCAATACAACTGCATCAGAGACCGTCCCGGGCGGCATCTGTGTCCAAGCCCGATCTGATGCACAAGACTACAGAGCAGTGCCGAAACAAATCTCTGAAAGCCTCGGTTTCCCAGGTCCATGTCACCCGAACACCAAGGAGGCCCAGGATCAATCCGGTGAACCCCTGAAAAGGCGCAACACTGCCATGACAGCCACAGACTTCTGATCGAATTGTGATCGGAAAGCTTAAGGCCCTTGAGGGCCGGGCTACCAGACAATTCATGTCCAGTTTTACACGGTCATCAGGTATAGATCGTGTGGCCTGAGTTGGCTCCTGCTGGCTCACCCGCAAGACTTGCAGCCCACTACGCTGAGCATCGCTGAGCTGCAGGCTGCAGTGCTTCTCGCCACAATGTCAATTTCATTAAACCATGAAGTGGCTGCGGGACACAGAAGCCGTCATGCCTCTTCCAAAGGATCGGTGTTCTACACCCGCTCACCCAACAAGGACCTGCTTGTTCTTAAAGCAACTCTACATGACGGGTTGTTCTACTGTAACTAAATAAGCGAGAACCGTTTTTGCAGATGCTGCTCCTCAGGTTGCCATCTCAGGAGATGCAGTGCTGGATGCCTTTGACGACAGGATTCCTGCAACAAAGCCGCACAACAAAAATCAGCACAATCTGCACAACAAAGCAAAGGCAAATGATTGGCACCTGAGCTGAATTGTCCCGGCTTGGCTGAGCTCTGGTGCAGCAACATGATCCAAGCAGCTACTACCTGCAAAACGCACATAACTAGGCTGGAATTGAAATTGAATACACGTGCTGGAGACTGAGAGGTGCTGTCCAATGTCTCTCGCAAGATGCTGCACAACCAGGGGCTGAGTCATGGACGACGACGGTGAGTATCCTCATGGGTTAGCGGGATGATATTGAACGAATGGTCACAATCAAAAAAAGAACAAGTAATTATTTTATGTATATACACGACAACAGCAAATCGGCAACCAGGGGACACGCTGCCCGTAAACATGATGCGGTGGCCAACCGGCACTTGACCTGCATTGTTCATGTCATTAGTGACGTTTGACCCGTGCTTTTTTTCGACCAGCCCGCCTCGAAGTACAGCTGATTGAACAAATGCAGCCTTTGGTGTGTTCTGGCACTCCAAATATCAATAAATACAAAGCGTTGACGCTGTGGCCCTCACAATCCGGGTAGACGGCAGCACACTCCAATCTGCAGCCAGTTGTTCAGTTTGCTAACATGACGCATGTGTTCCATGAATGTTGCACACCATGACAAACCGTGGTCAAAGGTCGGCTCCACTGTGCATTGCAGCAATCGGGTGCTCCTTAGCAACACAGCATCCGCTACAGCACCAACAAGAAGCAAGGCCCTGGCCATCGAGATCGTTTCTCGTGCATGAACCTTGTACGCAGAGTGCGGCTGAAACTTATGCGCATGCTTGACTGCAAATTATTGTCCCTGTGGACGCGCCTGCATGAAACAATGTGTCTCATCATCTGCATGGCCACATGCTGGGACCTCAATGACAATATAAACAACCCTCGCATGACACCATACTGATGCACAATGCCATTCAAATCAAGGCGAGGCAGCCATGTTCATAGCCAGCAGCCAGGCCATCAAAATCATCTACGCTTTCAGAACAATCAGAAACACATTCATGATAACTTTGCTTTTAAACGTTGCCCGAGGAATGCGCCAGAACGCAACATGTGAGTTTCTTACCAAAAAGTTGCCTGCAAGCGCGCAAGCTGGTTGCCCGTTCCGTATTGTATTTGCTCTGCTAACACAGCATGAACCGCATGCTGAATTATGTGCTTGTGCAACCTTGGTCGTTGCCTGAAACTCCCTGCGCCGCTTATGAGCCAAAACAAGCAAGAACAAATTGAAAGCACGACGCTTGCAACTGTAGAAAGTGTTGGCGGCTACGGCCCTTCAAGACCAGCCCTCTGCCACTTCAGGCGCCAACACAGATGGACCTGGAACTAAGGATGTCTGCTGTGCCTGCAGAAGCTGATGCTGGCAGACTGCAGTCTTGGTTGATCTTCATGTGGCTTTGCCTTGGCGGCTTGGCTGTCGACGTGATCCACGGAAACACTTGAAGGCAGAAGCCCTTCTTCGCTTCGCCGAAGGCCTCGCGCTCTTGGCTGGCCGGGTTTGCAGGCTGGCATCATGGACCGGCGTGGGCTGGTATCAGTCGGAGGCCCTCATGAAAGCCTTCGCTCAAGGGCTGCCGCGCCCACAACGCAACCGGACGTCTTGTCTTGAAACGCACGCTTTGAGCTTTCCAGCAAATTCAACAAAGAAGGAAAAAGTGGGTGCGTCGACCAAATTAAACAAAGTAGGACGTATGGCTCGCAAAAGACCAAAGTCCAAAGTATTGGTTGGCACTCTGCACTATGGCAGTTGTGTCTTCCCGAGCTTTTCTGAACAGAAAACACACTTTTCCAAATTTGAGCCTTGTGAAAGCGGAGAGTCGTTGCTCAAGCTACATGAAACGAGACCAAAAACTGTCATGTGAAAATGGGGGTTTGCTATGTGCGACAAAGTTGAACACCCCGCCCGAGTAGCCAATGACTCTGCAATGGTGCACTCGCCTCAACATGTCTAAACACTACATGACAGCAGTCTACAGTAGCTACATGCTACACAATGTTCAGCTACTCACATGGCCCACGCAGTTCTCACGAAAGAAAACACGGCATATAGAAACAAAAGCATTGTCAGCAAAGCGTGAAGTGTTTTACTCCGCCGACGTCGCATGAAAGAACTCTCAGGAAGAACACGCCAAGAAGAACAAGAAGAATTTGAGAAGGAAGAGATGGTCAGAAGATTGGAGAAAGTTTTCAGAAGCAAGAGAAGCATTGTTTTGGCATTGCCAGCTTTGGCATGCAATTCAAAGGCAAAAAAGATACAAGAAGAGAGCGACAGCAGAGAACCACGCGCAGTTTCAGTTCTTTCAAGCATGTTTTGCAGCAGCATGAGAAGGTTTGAGGTTCACGGGCGTTGTGTAGTCTGAAAGCTTCGCTTGCTGCTCCTGTCAACGCGAGGTACTCAGCTTCCGTGGACGATAGAATCACACTTCTCTGGGTCCTTGATGAATAAAAATGCATTCCGTTGAGATAGAATGTAGCGCGACTCACGCTTTTCCGTGTCTCCTTATCTCCAGCCCAGTCGCTGTCGCTGAAAAATTCTAGTAAGTGCTCTCCTTCACGTTCTCCATTTTCTTAATCACTTCCGTTCTCGGGGTCGTAGTTGTTGAGGTTCGTTCTTGGTCTGCTCAAGCTGACGTTCCTTTTTCTGTCTTCTTGTAGGTGATGCTATGGTCGGCTGTGCCTTCAAGGTAGAGCGCGAGGTGCTCAAGCTCCTTCTTCTTGCGCTGCGTGGGCTTCGCCATTTTCGTCGTTAAATTTTTCGTCGCAAACTGCATGTCAGGTCTGTCTGGGCAACATAGAGCAAAATCCCAACTGCTGACCGGTACTTCGTTGCTTCTTCTTCAGAAAGTTCTGGCGGAAAATCTGCTTCTCAAGATGCTGGAGTGCAAGGGCTTTTCTTGCTCTTCCTCTTCTGCACATTGAGGATCTCCAACAACTTCTTGGAATACTTTCCATCCAACAAATTCTCAGCTCGTGGTTCTCGAAGGAACACTTTCTCTTGAGGAATCTGACACTTCCTTCTGAATATTATCCTCTGCTGTGCTCTTCTTCTGTCAAAAACGGACCTTCTATCTAAAGCTTAACTTTCTTCTCAAGTTTCTTGAGAATCGGCTCAACACTCTTTTGCTTTCCAGCCATCTGAAGATCATCAACACGCACAATGCATTTTGCTGCAACATACTCCTTTCCATTGCTGTTCGTCTTTAGTAACTCTCCTTTGTCAAATCTCCCCAAAATTCTTGGAGAGTCGCATATACAAAATCGTCACTTAAATAATGACAATCCATCGAATCCAAAAATAATTCACACAATGCACTACACGCCCGTTCCTGGTTTCCTCTCTGTCTTGCTCTTGACACACCTTGATCTAAACTGTTTGCTCACAGTTCACACATGCACACTTGCAGCACTTCGAATATTCTGAATATTCTCTAATAATGTCGTACAAAATACTTTACGTGATGAGAATTGCTGTAGTTGCATTGATGATAATCCTGCATTGAATACAGATAATCCCACTAATTTACTGTTCAATAATATCAATGTAAAGAATGATGGGAAAACTCCAATACCTTAAATTTTGGTGTTTGTTTTAAAATATTTCTTTGTAAACTCATTGATAATTGGATCATTAGTGATTCTAGAGATAAATGACGAATACTAGTCTTAGCTGTCTTCCCAATATCATTCCATTGACTCACGCGCTTTTTCATCCCTTTGGCGCCGGCGCATAATTGCGCGATTCAAGGGGAGATTTTGTTTTTAAGCGGACGCCCCTTTATCACATCAGTAGCACAGTGGAAAACCTGCGTTTAAATGACCCTTCTCTTCGGAAGATGCTTAGAATGGGAAATAGGGCCTTCCGCTTCAAATCGAATTCTGCATGACTTTTTTTCCTTGCACTTAGCATTTCTTACTTCTTACGTATTTCTTTTGGGATCATCTTTAGCATGGACCCTTGTGCAAGAATGACACGCACAAATCGAGAAGTGCACCTAGCTTTTTGTTGTTGCCTTTGTGGACATTTTCAATATTTCTTACGGGAGCTGCCCGAACTCACTATGGGTAAACAAAAGGCAAGTAAAAGGTGCAGTAAAGTGTAGTTATCAAAATAACCAAGGTTGCAAACACATACCATGTGGTTTTCTTCCAACCACAAAGAGCTTGCGATGTAGTGCCAGCGTCAACATACTTATGGATGAGAACAACATACACTTTCTCCAGTGCTCAGGCGAAGGAGAGAAACGGCAAAACATCAACACATGTCTTTTTGTTGCATCAGCAGCTGAGTAGGCATCTACCAGGAAAATACAACAAAACGCCAACCTGACAACGCCAAAAACAGGGCACTCCAACCACAAAACAAAAAGCAAGTTTGGTTTCTTGCACGTTGAGCGAGTTGCTGCGGGGTGTGGAGCACTGTTGCTCGACCTCCAGGCATTTTCCATAAAGTCCGACTGAATCCCTCTGCAAAACGAGCCAAGCAGCAAAAAGCCGAAAAGTAGAGAAAGAAGAGTCTGCCAGAAACATGGACAAGAACCTCTTGGTCGGACGCCGCTGTTAAAGTGGGTACTGTTGCGGTTGAAAACCGAAGGTTCCTCTGGCTTTTCCCTTAAAAGTACGAACCTAACCTGTCTAAACCAAGTGCAGACACACCCTTTTTTTGACTTGCGGCCTGACACAACGCGTAACATTAAATTTAAACACGCAAGCTTCCACCACACAAGTGCAAACTAAGAGCGGAAACGTTTTACCTTAGTTGGTGTTCCAGTGTTGCTGTTTTTTCCTGCTTTATTTGTGGTAATGCTCTTGCGCTACTCATGTTCAGACAACCTGGGTTTACGAAGCACGGAAGTCAAGGCAAGGGGCTGAGGGCCATGATCTTCCAGGACAGTTATACCAACATCTTTGGGATCACTTGGGCGCCGTTGTATTATCGCTAAATTCTTTGTGGTTTGCCACTTGCCCTTAACATTGTGTCCCTCCATGGAAGCGGAGGTCAGAACTTTTTGGCTACCCAAGTTGACAGTCTTGTTTTGGAGAAATAGGCAGTTCGCCCATCCAAGTCCATTTTAGATCTGAGTTGTTGCATTTCGAAAGACGTAGAGAAGGCTGGGGTAGCCGTGCCGCCAGAGACATTGACCAACCTTAAACAGTAAGACGCGGATCAATCGTGGTAAACCTGTGCATTGCACGCTTCCGGAATCTCAACGACAATAACTGCGCAGTAGCAAGAAGAAAGTCTCTTACTGGGCTCCGGGTACATCCTTGCAGTAAGAAACTGCATCCAAGAGACCTATTGGCGCAAGGACTTTGAATGAGACGATGACGATTGCTTCTACATACATTACGGCAGTTACAAGCCAAAGGAGGCCCAACTTCTTATGTGCATTTCCAAGAAGCTAGCACCACCCCACATGATCAAACACACCCAGTTCTTGTTGGACGGCTCCAGCATGTTCGCATCTTCTTTCCTGCAGGCTGTCAAATGTTCAGAGCTTGCAGCTGCAAAGAATCAAGATTCGGTGCACACCGACAGCTCTTTAGCTTGGCAAAAAGCGGCGGATCTAAGTTGACAAGTTTGTCACTGCTTTGAAACATGTGCAAACAAGGAATGGTGGCATCACCCTGTCTGTAACGGAGGATGGGCCCCCCCCCTTTGGGCAAAAGGGGGCTTAAGCCCCCCTTTAAGCCCCCCTTTAAGCCCCCCTTAAGCCCCCCTTCAAAGGGGTCCCTGCAAAGGGGGTCCCTTCGGGGGGGGGGGGGGGCAAAGGGTCAAAGCCCTTAAGCCCCCCCTTAAGCCCCCCTTAAGCCCCCCCTTAAGCCCCCCTTAAGCCCCCCCTTAAGCCCCCCCTTAAGCCCCCCCTTTAAGCCCCCCTTAAGCCCCCCCCTTAAGCCCCCCCTTAAAGCCCCCTTGAAGCCCCCCCTTTAAGCCCCCCTTTAAGCCCCCCTTGAAGCCCCCCTTGAAGCCCC